TTCACAAGTTTCAAAATCTCCCCTCCCCCTACCGCATCCCAAAACCAGTCCAGCTCGTCCCTGCCTCCCTAACCTGTTCTTCCTCCCACCTATCCCCTCCTCGCACCTCCATCTCCTACTGACCAACCTCATCCCGCCCCCTTGACCTGTCCGTCCTCCCTGGACTGACCTATCCCCTTCCTAACTCCCTACCTACACTCACCTTTACTGGCTCCATCCCCGCCTCTTCGACCTGTTTGTTTCCTCTCCACCTATCCTCTCCTCTATCCCTCTTCTATCCGCCTCCCACTCTCTCCCTATTTATTTCAGAACCCCCTTCCCCTCCCCCTTTTCTGATGAAGGGTCTAGGCCCGAAATGTCAGCCTCTCTGCTCCTATGATGCTGCTTGGCCTGCTGTGTTCATCCAGCCCTGCACCTTGTTGTCTATAATGCAGGTAGCATGTGTTTCGAATAGTTATCTATTTGAAGACTATATATTCAAGTCATTGGCATCAGTTGTGGCAAATATGCTTCAGCCTAAGTATTTTCTGGAGATATTTCCCCTGTTCGTGAACCTCCTTGTAATTAGGCAATCGGAGTAGGAGATGCATGTAGTCAGGTGGAGGTCATGATTGCTAGAATTTGCAGATGAAATGTCTTTTCTGAAGATTTGTTGCGTCAGAGAGATCCGTCAGTTTAAAATAGGACTTTATTTTTACTCTGCAATATAAAAGACTAGAATTATTGTTTATTATTCAATTTATTACATTTAAAAGACTGGCTGTATGCATACTGCCGAGAGACCATTTGACAAGTTTTTTATCTTGTATTTTCTAATCAGAATTCGTTTAATATCTTTGGCTGCGCAAAAGTTCATCTCTGATATTGCGAACGATGCCTTGCAACACTGTAAAATGAAGGGAACTGCATCAGGAAGTTCCAGAAACAAAAGCAAGGTTTGTTCACATTGAATGTAGCAACGGTATTGTGTTTTAAATAATTCAAAGTACATGCAGTGAGACTTTAATAATAAAAAAAGCACAATATAGACTGTTCTTATTTGTATTTCCAATAGTCACTGGTAAAGGAGACTCTGTGTCAAGTTCCAAACTTGCAATGTTGTCATTTAGTTTAGCAGATTACTGTGACTCTGATCCATTTTTAAAAATAATCAGGCCTGAACTTGCATTTGTCAGTATTTACTCTGCTGACCTTTTAGGTTTAGGAAAATTAGTTCTTGTGGCTAACAGCCCAAGGAAATTGTATATATTTAAAAATGATTTCAGTACACATACTTTATAAATACACACATTTTGCAATGAAAAAGGTTTGCACATGTGAAGTTATGTTGTGTTCTGACCAAAATTGGGGGAGGAGAGGAATGCGCTCTCAAGTCCCATTACTCCACGTGTCACAGCATTAATTTGTTTTATCCAGTTCCTGCTATAACCAAAACAAAGCTCTCTCTCTATTAGAATTTAATTTTAAAATCTAATGACAGGTTTCTTCAGTAAGCATAAAATTATTGATTTTATTACAAAATAAATCTATTTCGTGAAAATGCGAAACTAGTTAAGAACATTTTTTTGTATTGCTGAAATATAAATGTTTACCCCCTAACCCAAAACGCGCACAATGGATAAAAGGGGGAAAAAAGTTGTTTTGCACTGATTCACCTTTTGTGAAACAAAAATCTCTTTTTTGGCCAATAAATCTCAGATCTTGAAGGCAAACTAAATGAGGTTTGAGATAATGCAGATGACTTTTGATCTGACGTGCAGGCCTGTGTAGACAGGTGTCATCAAACATCGACAGGTGTCATCAAACATCGACAGGT